ATTTTGTCATACCACAAATAGGCATGGCACCCAAATCTCAAATCAAAACATTTGCGGTTCTAATAGCCTTGATTTTTTTAAAGTTATCCAATCTTTTAACCCTACCAGGCAACAAGCATCATAATGTAATCTAAAATTTGGTATACCCAGACCTACTGTAAGATTCTATGTTTAGAATCTTATAGTAGCTTATATTTAATTCTTGGTTTTTTATTTTGCCAAATAAATTTAGATATATCTTTCTTCCACTGTTTGAAAGTGGCATCTCTAATCAATATTGGTAATGAAATAGAAATAACATTCTAGGTAGTACATTCATTTTAATTACTGAAATTTTTCTCATTAATGACAAATCTAATTTTTCCCATCTATTTAAATCCAATGTTATCTCCTTCCATATTTTACAGTTGTTGTTGTTGTTGTTTTTTTTTTTTTTTTTTTTTGGTAAAGCTTAGAATTTTGGTCAGTAAGTCACCCCTGAATACTGTACCTTTTTTCACAACTTTAAAACCAGTTTGAAATTCCAATTTCTTCTGATCTTCTACATTTATGTTCTTAGTCAGCACTGTCATTTTTAAGTTATTTATTTTTAAACCCGTCATTTCTCCAAACATTTTGATCCTCCTTGTAACATATTCAATGTTCTCTAGCGGGTCTCGCACAATCAATACCAAATAGTCAGCAAATGCATGCAGTTTGTAATTGTGCTCTTTAAGTTGTGGTTCTTTCGGACCTCTGGTTGACGTTGTGGTGCCATCGGATGGAAGGAGAGGGCTCTGTGAACTTGCACCGAATCCCTTTGTTGGAGGGCCCCATAAGGGGTTAAAGTCACCCTGTAGAGGTGACGAAGAGTGGAGGGGCCCTGCAGGTCGCGGAGAGCGGCAGCAGTCCTGCTTGACCCAGGGCTAATTCCCTCTCATCCAACAACAAAGAGGAGAGGCAGCCATTATGGCTGCCGTGAAGCTGGAGCAGCCGAAGAAACAAAGAATGTGCTGGAGCAGTGTGGATGAACAGTGACTGAAAATGGGTGAGGTGATTCTTTTTTTAAAATCTAAAATTTATCCTAAAGAAAATAAATTCTGAAAAAGAGACTCCTCGAAAAGGTTATTTAAGCGGCAAACAGAAAAATCACAGATCCGAAAGAAAAGATTCTAAGAGGAGAACGCAAAACATAGAAAGATTGGATTTCTAATTTTTATTGGCAATAAGGCATTTTAAAATGCTGGAATTACTTGTCTTAATTTTAATTATTTGTTTGAATAAATAGCAACGGAACCTGTCAGATTTTGTGCAATGTTGAAAGTTAAGCTGAAGGCGCCACCTACTGGTGAATGGAATATATAAATCTATGTTTGTTGATTTGTCTGTTCTATCTTTTCCCCTGGTCTTTCTATTATCTCCTCTATTTCCTGGGCTTTTTGATCATTGTTCATTATTCCTTTTTGAACACTTTCTAGCTTCCCACCTATGTTATTCATTAGATCCTTTATCTCCCTATGATTCCTTATCATAATATCATAAATGCTTTGAAACATCGACACCATTTCTTTTTGCAACCCACTTATTTACCCCTGCTGAAACATCTTGTCTTCTTTTGATAAGTCCAAATATTGCTCAGTAGTCTGTCAATGGTCTATCACCGCCCCAGAGTCTCAATTATCTTTGACCTCAGAAAGTCGATCTGGAAACCATTTACTCAATCCTGACGTTGCTCCTCAGGGAATATAGTAATTATAATTCTTTATGTCCCACAGTTAGTCAATTAGTTTTTTTTAGGTAATCCAGGAAGATTTCCAAATGTCTTCTTAAGTCCATTCTATAAGTTCAATTATAACTCCTGTATTTGAAAGTCACTTTATTTAGATGTCTTCCATGTTCTCACCATTAGAGCTCCAGTAGTCATGAAATAGATAAGTATAGAGCAGTAGATAGCATGGCAGTACTCCAGGTGTTATTTATTTCCACTTTTACCCCTGTTTTATCAGTATTTTTCCCAGGGTTATAGACTAGAAGACCTCCAAGGTCCTTTCCAACTCTGTTATTCTATTCTGTTCTGTTCTGTTCTAAAAACTTCAAATGAAGTATAATTAAGTGGAAAAAATTCTTTAAACTATACTCAAATAATTTTTGATGTTCCTCAAAGAACTGGGGACAGATTGATAACAATTGTTGCTCATTTAGTCTTCAATATATATTCATTAATATAAGTAGATAAAATTGATAAACCATGATTTTGTGATGCATAATTTATACCAACTCTTAAAGTTATTTATATCTCTTTTAAAAACTCCAACTTCCCAAAAAATATTTGTCATTTCTCAATAGAGAGTGGTGCATAAATAAAATTCAGTAGAAAAATATCTGATATCTATGGACATTCTTAGTCATCCAGGTCATGGTTATCTGAAAGGTGCTTTTTCAATAGGCAACTGGACTTTCTTGGTTTTTTTGCTTTTCATCCAAGACGCTTCTTCAATTGAACTGAACTGAACTGAAAAAGCTTCTGGATGACAAGCAAAACAGAAAGAAAAAACAAGAAAATCCAGTTGTCTTTTGAAAAATAATCTTTGGGACAAAAATATCTGATGTTTATTAATTTGGATTTGACAAATTATGGCGGGGTGTCAAACTCACAGCCGGCGGGCCAGATGCATCACACACTGGCCACACCCACCCCAGTTTTAGTGAAGGAGAAAAAAGTTGCAATACGTCATGTGACGATGTGTTGTCGCAAGTTTGACACCCCTGAACTATGGCATCTTGAATAAGAACAATGAGAGCTACAGATGGGAGCTACAATGTAGTTCTATCATTAAGGTTTCATTTGTACTTTTTAATATATGTATACTGGTCATTGATTATAATATATTAGTGATAGTAATTAATTTATTACATATAATCATATCTTTAACATGATAATTTCATTAGTGATGCACTGTAAGAAGAACGAAAGATAAAACTTGAAAAGAATAGTGATGAAAATGATCTGTTGGAAATTTAGGTTGAATTATAACATAATTATAAAACATTTATAGTGTGTTTGTATAAAATGATGTACTGTTGGCATTTAATGTTGCCTAATTGTCAAAGATACATAAAGGTGTTTCAAGTCTGTTGGAAATATAATTGTAAAGAAATGTACTTATAAACGAAGTATTTTTTATCATATGTGGATGATTTGTGACAAGGCAAAGAAATATGGGGACCAGATTTATGCTTCAATCCAGAATTTTTTTAGAATAAGTATACAATAGAAACCATATTGTTTTCTCTTAGGACTGTTGTACAAGGAATAGTGGGGGAAATGGAACTTTGTTATCATATATGCTGATTGCAGTGAGAATTTTAAGCCCACAAAAATGGAAAGAGGCATCAACTCCCAGAATGGAAGAATACATTGAGAAATTGATGGAACTGGTGGAAATGGCAAAGTTAACAACATTGATTAAATGAAAGAATGGAACTGGCTTTGTTTCCACTTGGAAACTTCTTCTGGACTTTCTGAGCGAAAGAGATAAACATAATATTCTAACTTTGGGTTTGGATGATTAAGTAAATAGTTGTTACAGAAGTGACATGTGTGTGTGTGTTTGTGTATGTATGCACGTAATAAAAAGTTGAGATTATAATTTTATTACTGGTATATAATTTACTGCATCAAAAAAAGATGGAAGTTAACTGCTCTTTTTATTTCTTCCTCTTTTCCTCTCTATGCTCTTTTTTCCTTTTCGTCTTATCCTTTTACCCACTATTTTAATTTCTATTTGTATTTTATATTTAGATCATAACAATAAAAATTAAAATATTTATTAAAATAACCTCAAAATAGCAGTCAGTTGCAAACTGAATCTGAGTCAGCAGGATGATCATCATGGGAAGAAGGCCAGTGGATCCATAAGAATCTCAAGAAGTGAGCCTTTAGTTTTGAGGAGATCCCAACACAAGTGCCTGATCCTCTTGCAGGCACTACACTTGAACAAGAAATTGCACACAATCTGCATCAATTTGAGAGAAGGGCAATGAAGCCAAGGAAGAGATCAAAGCAGCTGCTCTTAGCCTTGAGGGAAGACAAGGAGAAGAGCCGAAAATCAGGAGGTGTCTGGAAGCACCTTTTCCAACTAACACAATCTCTTAGTGGAGAAGGGCAGGATGCAGCACTCTTCCAATAACTGAAAGATGTTACCCAAGATCCTAAGCTTAGGATCTGCTCACTCTTATTCCAGAGTATCCAACCTGGAAAAATGAATTCAGTTACAGGAGAGGTGATTCTGGCTGAACAAGAGGAACTGCATGCTAAAAAGAGGAGCAGTTTTAGAGCCCAGCCAGTAAGTGAGAGTTCACTCTCCCCTTCAACTCTGATTGTCATAATGTGAAGATTGAGAGCCCTCAGTCAGAAAAACTGGGGTTCTGGCTGAGAGGAGGGGTTAGGCTAGAGAATCTCAGGGGCTCCTTCAAATTTATGAAGGTAAAATTCTAAGGCTGCTAATCAGAGATTCTTGGTGCTCTTTGAGTTTGGTTGTTTTCTTTCACTGGGCAAACTAAATAACATCATCAGTGCTGGGGCCCTTCAGACCCCACCCCACTCCAACAATCTCCATGCTTAGAAGAATATGGGCCAAGCTACCTTAGGAGGCCAAAAGACCATTGCTTTAGGCAGAAAAGCCACGAGAGAAAGGTCTTTCTCATACAGGTTAGATGTGAGGTTTGAAGCAGCTGAGTTGATCTTCCTGTTGAGAGCTCAGCTGATCTCCCGACGCTCCATCGCCAACCGGTCTTCTTTTAATGGGAATGTCAAGACCAGCCGCTTCTGTTTATCTCTCGCTGGCTGGCGATGGAAGTACCGGTAACACAAGACCTCTGCCCGCCCCTTCGGCATCTATCAAGAGGGCCCTGACTTCAGTTCAGCAGTTTGCAGAACAAGGCAGAGAAGTGGGAGCTGGAGTTAGGAATCCAGAAGAAAGCTGGTTTCTGCTCTTCGTTTGCTCCGAGCGAGGATTCGTTCCCTCGGAACCGGGGCGCTTTCGGCGGCCTGACCCGCTGCCAGGAGGAGCGGGGAAGGAGGCGCCTGATCGGGCGGTGCCTGGGGCTGGAGGAAGTTTTGCACTTGAGCTGCAGAGGGGGAGACAGAGAGGAGCGCCTGAGGGCGAGAGCGAGAGCGGAGCGCGGAGAGGAAAGGTTGGATTCGAACCCATCCTGCTTCCAGCTCCCTTCGCTCAGCCGCGCATCAGTTCCTTTCCCCTTCAGCCGCTCCGATCGCCGGCGGGATGGGCGGATCGAGCTCCAGTTTGCTGGACGACAGCAAGTGCACCTACATCCGAGGTACGGCGCCAAGTGTCCCCTTCACTTGGCGCGCGTTTGCGCGGGCGAGTCCGATGCCAAAGTCGAGAGAGAGAGAGAGAGAAGGAGCTTGGCCAAGCGGTCGGGAAAAGGGGCGAGCGCCCTCGTGGGCCGGGGGGTGGGGAGGACGACGACGGGGTCTGTTTTGGCTAGCAAGGGGTGACCCGCGGGGAAAGTTTGCGAAGCTGTCGCTCCGTGTTTGGGAACGCGGGCCTTGTGCCACTGGGCGCTAACAGGGATCGCCTGCAAACTTGCGAAGCGTTTTCAGTGCTGCGCGCCGAGAAGAACGCACAGCGCGTTTTTACGCACAGCCACCTAAGGTTGGTCGCCGCGAGATAAAGTTGTAAGACATCATTTGCCATTCAACCGAACAGCTGTCGCCCCTCGTTTTCTTATGCGAAGGGCACGAAAACTGAAATCCGTTACTAACAGCCTACGTGGCGGCTGAGGCGCCTAAACTTGCGGGTAATTCTCTTTGAACTTGGTGGGGGTTTGCTTCAAGTCACCCCGGACATGTGACTTAAGGGCTGAGCGCTGCCTGCCCAACGGAGGCGAGCCACGTGTAGGAGTCCTGTGCACTCCTAAAGCATTAGATTAGGGAGTTCTGTACTGGTAGTTGTCAGTACAGTACAGAATGGGTCACACGTTGTATTTTAAGGATTTGCTCGGAGACAACAATAGAAAGTAGAGTTGGTTAACTGGGAAGAGGGCTGCTGTTTTTTCTGGAAGCTGCTAAAGTGGGAAAGAATATTTAGAGGCTGTAACAGCTGGGGGAAAACAGGAGAATGGGAATTGTGCTAGATAATATATGGGGGGGGATATAGCTCTCATTTGTCATATTCTCCCCATGAAGGAAGAAATTGCTTAATGTCTATGGAGATTCTCAGCCATCCAGGTCATGCTTGTCCCAAAGGTGCTTTTTTTTTTTTCAAGAGGCAATTGCATTTTCTAGTTTTTCTTTGAAGAAATTTCTCTTCTCATCCAAGAAGCTTCTTCAGCTGGGATGAACAATTTGCTTGTGATTTCCTGAGAGAAGAAGGGCTGTCAGTCATATAATAAAGTCAGTCATATAATAAAGTTCCTGAACTTTTCAAAGGTGATTTTAGAAACTTTTGTCTAGATTCCAAATCTACAGGACTCTTGTTAATTATTGACTTAGATGAATCTGCTCCTTAGGTTGATATCATTTGTAAAAGTATCCCACATAACATAAACATATTGGGAGAAGCAAAAAGGAGAGGAAGAAAGATCTTAAGTGGCTCTGGATGCCCTCACCAAAGCCCTCAGATATGCTCCTAATTAGTCAAAGAGTTTGAGCAAACTCATAACTTTAGAGCAAAAAAATCAGGAGTGGCAGAAACACCGTTTCTTCTTGATTTATATCCTGTGACTTTATTGAGACAAGCAAGCCATTATACTTAGTATTAGATTTTATGTGGTTCAAATTATTCTATTGGGAATTGAACTTGTAGGTCACTGTACTTTTTACCCCCTCTGTATGCAATGCACCTAGCTTTATAAGTATTGTGTAAACCCACAGAGTAGAAACACGGAGTCTCTCCTATGATTATTGAGTTAGATGAATCTAATAAGATAAAATATAGCTTTATATCTCTAGTCCAGGAGTTCAAATAAGGATGGTGCATATTACTATAAATTATTCGATGACATAATGTTAGAGTTGGAGCCTCTGTTACTAAAAGACAGGTGAACTGAATGAATCCCACTGAGAGATTGATTTGCTGAAACTCAGATCGCTTTAAAGAACTGACATTCTCATAAATTATGTCAGGTCCATAAAGAACATAGAGGTGTAACCTCTACGCAATAAATTCTGCTACAATTCCAGCAGAGCATGCTAAACTAAAAAACAAAAGCACTTGAAACTATTATTGCACAATTAATTCTAGATAGGGATACCAAACTAATTTTCTAAGATTGAGTCTGGAAGATCTCCTTTGGCAAGGCCTTTCATGAAATAGCTGTTACCAAAAAACAGGCAGAAGTTTATGTTGGTTCCCTGCCTAGTTGCTGAAAGAGATGTTTGTATATATGGAGATGCATATGTGAAAGATAACACTCCTTTTATTCTTACGTTTTAGAATTACAGGTAATCCTTGATTTATGATCACAGTTGAGCCCAAAATTTCTGTGGCTAAATGAGACAGTTAAGTGAGTTTTGCTCTATTTTATGGCCTTTCTTTCTACAGTTGTTACCTGAGTCACTGCAGTTGTTAAGTTAGTAACATGGCTGTTAAGTGAATCTGGCTTCCCTATTGACTTTGTCAGAATATCACAAAAGGTGATCACATGATCCCGGAAACTGCAACTGTCATAAATGCGAGTCAGTTGCCAAGCATTTGAATTTTGATCTCACAACCATGGGGATGCTGCAAAGGTCATAAGTGTGAAAAAGGGTCATAAGTCACTTTTTTCAAAGGATTTGGAGTGAGATTTTTAAAAGGAGAGGGGTCAATTATTTAATGCAGACAAGTAAGAAATGATGCAAATTGCAAGGCTAAAATCCTACCTTTGTCAGGTCTGACTGCCAGGAAAAAGACTTTGATGCCAAGCAGGCTTGTTTAAAAAAAAAACCAAAATATCTTTGATAAAAAGATAAATTCCATGCAAAAAAAATATGAAGAACAGGGTTAAAAACAATAGAAACTGAAATATACAATTTAAATCTTTGCTTCTATTTGAAACATTGTGTACAGCAGCTCTGATTGTCCCAAGATAAGAGTGTACTGCAATTGGGGGGAAAAAACCAATTAAAATAATTAGTTTCCTCCATAAAAAACAAAGCAAATAATTTGTTTTTCAAACTTCTTAGTTCAGGGAAGGAAAAAAGGACACAAAGAATTATAAGAAACGATGGTGTGAAGATAGATATGATGAAATTTAATTTTAGTGGATTTAGAAAAGAATCAGACATAAATGCTAGTAATAGTTGTACCGCCAGTAATTATCCACACTAGCTATAGAAATGCTCCATATTTAAAGGTAACTCTGTTAGCTGCTTGGAGAAGTTGTGAAGAGAAATTGTGTAAGAATAACAGAATACAGAGTTGGAAGGGACCTTGGAGGTCTTCTAGACCAACCCCCTGCTCAAGCAAGAAATCCTAAACAATTTCAAACAAATGGTTGTCCAATCTCTTCTTAAAAACCTTCAGTGTTGGAGCACCCACAATTTCTGGAGGCACATTCTGCTGATTAACCGTCAGGAAATTTCTCCTTAGTTCATTAGATGTTATTTAGGCTCCTATCTCTTGGGTTCTTGGTGTTATCTGAGTTTGTTTTTCTTGCAGATGTTTTATGACCAGGGTAGGAATGTCTGATGAGGCACTAAAGATGTTCCATAGCCTAGTCATGTAATGTCTGCAAGAAAAGAATCAAGTTCGGAAATTCCAAGAACCCTAAAACTCAACCCTCAGCTACTGTATTCACCACTATTAGAAATACCTTGCTGAAGACTCTGGAAGACATCCGAATACAATAGGACTTCTCATCTTTTCTTGCATACCTCTATTATATCAATTATGCCACTTATATCAATTAGCGTATGTAAAAAGGGGAGAGTTGAATAATTTCTTATTTTGCACAGATATAGTTATAATATATACTGCTTTGGAGGAGTCATTACAGGGTCATGTGCCTATTCAGCACAATGTAATATTATTTGACAATTGTTAATAATGCTTCAGGATTCTAAAATCTTATTTGTAAGCATTGTTTTATAATTATGGGGTGTCAAAGCTTGATTTGTACAAAAAAAAAAAAAAAAAAGAGGAAATGCTTTTCCTAAACCTACATTTTATATTCAGTATTTTTGTCCTAGACAAAGACTTTTTTGATTGCTACAGTTTTAGGCTGGCAAATAGAATTTTTAGGAACCAACCTGAAGTCTTCCTTTTAGTATTTTATTGTATCATTTTGTTCCTGTTCCAATGTTGGTAGGGTAATGATACAAATGTGTAGGCAGAGAGATCAGGACAGGGGAAAGATAAACTCTTGCACAGATCATATTTAATAGATTAAAGTCCATTTTAGGGGTGATTTTTACAGCTATTTAAATCTCTATGTTTAGGCCCCATTGAATTAACTTCTATTCCACAGCAATCTCTTTATATTCATTGGATTTAAATAGTATTATTAACCCATGTTTCGCCCAGTCCAAAACTGCTTAACCTTTCTAAATTGTGTCTTTCTACCTGCTAGCCATTATTAAATTAATGGACAACGATACTTGTACTCTGACTGACTTTGGCCTACAATGTACCGATAGGAAAATAGATGTTTTCAGCAACTAATTGGCTGATATAGCTGAACGTCAGTCAGTTCATAAGAGATAAAATGAAGTCATAGTGAGAATAGTTTTCCGTTTTTATACGTATGTACATATATTTATACACATACTGTATAATGCACATATTGTATGTATTAAGGAATGTAGTACTTCTATTCAATACCTTATTTCTATCTGTCCTCAGGGCTGTAATAAATACATTTAGTTTTTCCTCATATGTAATTGTTCTGAATAGAACCTGTAGTATAGGGATAGATTTGTGTCAGGAGCAAGGAACCAGATCCACAGTTTAAGATGACTATTTCATTGTATTCTGCCTATAATACAGGAATCTCCCAAGGCTGCTTGCCTTCCCTTGGGAACAGATGTTCCATGGAGCTTTGGGGGTGTCAGTCCTGGATCTCTTGTGGCTGCTCAATGATTCAAGGCTAATCCCCATTTGAGTCCTCCTCCTGAGTTACTGGGTGTGTCCCAACAATTTATGATCAAAGCATGTCAATTCAGTCAATAGTCATTGAAGAGTACAAAATACTAGTGAAGGCATTTGTAGAGATATTCATGCCTTGCATAGATCCATACCCCACAATGCAAAGAACACTTAAGTATATTTTTCACTTTACACATCTAAGCTTCATATGTTGTGACTAAGAAAATAAAGGAGGCCCCTTGAAATACA